TCCATCGCGGGCTCGCCGCTTTATCTGATCGAGCTTCGGCGGGGCCGGGCCAGCGCTGGAAACCGGATTCGAGCGCTTGGGAGTCGCCTGGAGTGGAGCGGGGGAAAAACCCTGGCGGTGCTTTGAGTTTGAACCCGTTACAGACAGCTCACCGCCGAGCCACGCCGCTGGAGTTTGAACCGAAGCTGCTATTTACTTAGGGCTCAGTGGGAGCGTTTTCTCTGGGGACTGAAGCCAAGCTACTGAGGAAGCCGGGATTTACGTGGATGCATGGTAGAGAAACCTGTGGTTCCTTTATGCTGCAGTTCATCGTATCCCACTGTTACCTGTAAATGGAATTACAAAAATCAACCAGTATGCCCGGGCCCTTGTCCCCAGGATACGCGGCTCAGGTGCCGTATAACTATAACCAGCTAGAAGGAAGGTTCAAGCAGTTACAAGGTAAGTCTGTGCTGGCTTTTTTTTGTAGGTGTTGCTATGGTCTGAGCCCCCCCGTCAACACGTTAGTCTGGGCTTGTTCTCATTGCGTTAAGGTGTTAATGGGAGAGGCCCAAAGCAGTGCTGCAGGAAGAAGCTTTGTGCTCTTTTGAGAGGTTCAGCGTGGCTTTTATCTCTCTGAAGGTGTCCTCAGAATTTCACAGTATTAAGATCCATGTCCAGCCTCTCAGCCACTCTGCATTACAGAGCAGGACGAACCAAGACCAAGTCACTTAGAACAAAAAGGGGAGAGTAAGGAAGAGGGCTTTCCATTTATTTTATCCTTAAATAAAATACAGTCGTATCTCTGGAAATTAATCATAGAATCCTGGCTGTGTTTGGGTGCAGTTTGCAGCACGGGAGCCCTTTCTGGGTCCCTGTGTGCCTCTTGTAACGACGGGTGGCATAACTTCTTCAAATGAAGGACAGTTGCATAATTTGCAAACAAATTAGTTTGTTCATGTCGTAGAAGATCTCTGAGACTTGACTTTACTCTGTTCCTGTACTTTAACATTCCCAGTTTTCTTCATTTTGTATTTCTCTACTTTCAGACAGGAAGAATGTCCGTTAGTGTGTTAAATCCTCTGTCTGTGAGAGCAAAGAGACGTTTCTGTTGGGGAATGGTGGTGTGCTCTGCAGGGTGGAGAGGGCCTCTGACCCGTGCTGGAGACCCAGATTCTTAGGAGGGCAGCAGAGGAGCATTGTGCCCGGCACCTCTTTGCCTCAGACAGGGTAGAACAAGCTCGGCTGTTTCTCCGAGTGAGGCATGTCTCGGGGATGAATGAACTCTAGCACTGCAGTTTCAAAATAAAAAAATCCTTTAACCCAAACCAAACCTCCCCTGCACCATGTGACTCCGGCAGGAATCCCGGAGCATCGGTTCAGCCCTTCTGTGCATGTTTCTTATTTTACCCTGCTCTGTGCCACAAGTGTGGTCCTGCGGTTCCCTCAGAGAGGGAGGAAGAGCCTGGTTAGGGCAAAGAATGTTCCCATTTGTTGGCTTAAAAAAAAAATCTTTCATTCATAGTGCTTTGTTTATGTTGTACACCGGCTCACAGTAATGGCTGCGTGCTGGAGGTGATGAGATAAAAGGACAGCATCTCAAACGCTGCTAACACAGGCATTCCTCGGGCAAGGCAGGGAGAATCCAGGCTCCGAGCCTGCACACCAGGGACCGCGTTAGGGGTTTTGTCTTGGACATCTGTCAGATCTTAGACTGTGGTACTGGCTTTAAAAAGAACGAGGTAAGTTTGTGGCATGGGGGGAAAGAAAAAGCCTTGCTCGCTCCTCGTTCTTTGCTGGTGAAGTTAGCAGCCTAAAGAAGGCAGATTTTATCATTTTCAGGGTCACTGCTTCAGGAATCCATTATCTGTGTGTTTACATCACACTGAAAGAGGAAAGCAGACGCTGTGTTGAAAGCACAGACAGTGAGTTTTCCCTTCGGTGGAATGCAGTGTGTTGACTTCAAAAACCACTAGAAATTGAAGTGCCCTCCCTGGCAGTCCTGCAGGTTCCACTGACAAAAGAGCAGATAAAATGCAGCGAATTCTCCCCCAGTTGCAAGGGGAGACTTTGCAGTAGACCATCCCAGAGCTGCTCACTCACACTGCAGAGAACCAGACAGGCTTGAAAAGTAGTGCTGCCGGTGATCGTGTTTGGGCGGAGCTTACGTGCAGGAAATGTCTGAAATGGTGCACTAGGTACTCCCTGAAATGCTAAATCACATGCAAAATACGGTGGGCTGTGAAGGGAGTGGCTTAACTCAGCTGAGAGAGGAGATGTCTCTTCTTGCCTTAATGGCTCTTTGTTTGAAGAACGTCTAAAAAGCCCTTAATTTGTATTGTAAAACTTGGAGGCCATTCTTGTCCTCTCGCTGGAAGGCTCTGGTGAAGACATGGGGTTTTCTCTGGCATGGTACTCTTCAGATCTAGAGAAAGCTGGGTTTTCCTGAGGAAAAAAAACCACTTAGGAGCCTATTGTTTTGACTGAAATAAGACAGAGCAAGTGCTAAGGCCCTGTTCGAAGCCAAGTGTGAACCAGCAATGATTGAAAGACATCTGAGCTCTTTCCTAAGGTAGACAATACCTTGGATTGGGCACTGGCAGCTTCACACAAGAAGAGGAGTCAAGCTAGTTCTGCCCCAAAAGGCAAGGGACAAAGCAAATTCAGATCAAAAGTAATCACCTAGGTACTCCTACATTCAGCCTCTTTTAAATGCCTTCAAGTGATGATGTTAAAGAAACTCTCTTCAACCTGGTGATGATTATGGAGCCTTTAAAGCAGATTTTCCAGCCCTGTACTGGCTGGAGTGTGAAGCTGGTGGGCGTTGTGGGTCTGCACTGGAGGGACCAGGCTGGCTGCCTCTGCACCTGGGAAGGGTCACCTCGCAGGAGATCCCAGCTCCTGCTTCCCAGAGCAAAGCAGGACGTGGCAGGAGACAATCAGAGCTGTCTTTGTGTCCAAAGAAACCCTGGAGTCTGGTGGGTGGCAGCTGAGAAGTTCAGCATACACAGTCCTGGTGCTCTTGAGGGTGTTGGTGCAGGGGTGGGGAGGAAGGTGCTTTAGCACATTCTGTTTCCTTTAGTAAGTTTCAGTCAGTTCTCATTATGGTTCGTTTGCCCAGTCCTGGAATGAGAAGTGAGAGATGGTATCAGTGCTTGCTATCATCTTAAACCTAGGTGTGGAGCTCTGGTTCTCATGGCCACTTGTTCGGTAGGAAGGGATTGTGTTGCAGACTGGAGTAGCTCTGCAAGTGAGGACAGGACCCCAAAACGAGCTGCTGGAAAACATGTTGCCATGTAGCTTGTGCAGGGTGCATCAGTGGAGAAAATTTGTGCTGCTCAAGTTGAGGAGTTACCTGGAAGCAAAGCTGGTGTTGGAAACAAGGCTGTCACCTGTGCCACAGGGGCCTGGGGCTGGCTTGGCACAGTGGTAGGAGGTTGATGCAAGTCAGGAATTTGGACGGAGATGCCTGTGGCTGTCTCACCTTCCAGAGTGTCAGTGCCCCAGGGAAGCAGCTCACTGCTCCCAGCTCCTGCCCACCTGCTCAGCAGGACAGAGTAACAGCTCTGGCACTGGGGAGCTGGGTGACTTTAGCGGCTTCTGAGGTACAGTTGGAGAGCTGGATCTCGGCTCTGGGGCTGTGCCCTAGGTGTGAAGTTTCCAGCGGTAATTGCAGATGTAAAATCCCGGGGGATGGGGCTGAGGGAGATCTGCCCTCCTGACAATCCCCGGGGCAAAGGCAGCTCCAGAGGAGCTGGGAGCTGTGCCCCGGGGGCTGCCCCGCTGGGTGGGACCTTGCCATCTTGTTTACTTTTCTGATGCCGCGTTTCAGCCTGGAAATGGATCTTTTGTTTTGTGGGAGCCCGATGCCTTTCGGTGACCAGGCCAGCTGGGCCTAATAAAATTTATTTTATTACTACTGTTGAGCCCTATTAGAAATAGCAGTGTTGGGAAAACTTGGCCCCCGGTGTGGTGGCGGCTGGAGGAAGCCCTCAGGGGGGATGAGCTGTCGGTGCCCTCAGAGGTGTTCAAGCCACCTGCAGATCCCTCTGAACTGTTCCGTGGGGATGAAAAACTGACTGTGGCTTCCCAGCACCGCCTGCACCAGCAAACAGAATGCAGTTGTGTGAGCGTTTCAGGTGTCTGGGGCAAACCCCTTGCTCTGGAGCAGCACCCTGGGCTGTGTCAGCCCTTGATCTGCAGCCACCCACAGATTGCTCGGGCTTCTGGCATAAAGAGAGACACCCGGTTTCTAAGTGGTCAGTGAGAATGGGCTTTGGTAATGTAGGGACCTGTATGCATAGATCGGTTCCCATCCGGGCTGCAGAACAGGAGGAGAAATTTCCTGTTAGTATTCCTGTTCTGAAGCAGGGTTTCCCCACAGCTTTCCCTATCCCCAAATCCCTGCCTGTGGATACACGGGGAGCTCCACTGGGAGGTGACTGGTTCTCAGGAGTCGCTGAAGTGCTGCCCGGTGCTGGGGCAGTGAGATCTGCTGCTGCACCCAGAGTCCTCTGAAGCTGTGTGGGTGCCCTTTGAAAAGACACTTTCCACAGCAAGATTTACCTTTTAAAGGATTCCAGTCCCTTGCGAGCAGTGACCTGCATAGCTCCAGGCAGTGATTACTGAACTGAAGGACATCCTACTTTGTCTACCAAATTGGTCACTGGCATTTCTTGTCATGGTAATTTCTGTTAAAAGGTGAAATGGGGGGAGGCTGAATTTCATTCCAGATTAAATGTCTGGTTTAAATGTGGTTGGTGGTTGTTTTTTTTTCCCCCTGCACCTTCAGATCCACTGAAGTTGCAAATATATCCATATTCCTATGGCAAATTTTGCTTGAGTTTCTGCTGTCTGCAACCATTCCAGAGCCTGCATATGTCACAGCATAGTTCAGTCTTTGGTGAGCCCATGAGCACACGCTGGAGGCCCTGTTAGATGTGCAGAGTTCTGAAGGAATCTCAAATGCAGGGTTTTGAATGTGCATTTCTGTGATAGCTGGGCCCTTGTTCTTTCCAATGCAAAGATTCTTGCAAACATACCTGAATTCTAGACTCAGTTTTAGGGCTTTTTAACTGTCTGGTAGCTGAATATTGGTAAAAGTCTTCTCTGCCTAGAACTGGTTCACATGTGCAGGTTAGAAAAGCCATCTTGGCAACTAATTGGGCGTGTAATTTAGGGATTTAGCTTCGTAGAGATGCCTGGGTGAGTGTTGTAACTAACATGGACAGATTCCTCATTAAAATGGACATTTGTAGCAAATCACTTGCTAGGACTCAGTTTGTCTACTCATAAAACCAGCTGGTGGAATGTCAACTCTTTGCACATCCCCTTGCAGCACAGGACTGATGCAGTCATGGTGAGGTGAGGCTGCTCAGAGCTGCCTCATTTCTGCCCTTCCCAGCAGGAAAAGCCTCCAGTTAGAGTGTACAGGTTCTGGGGTGACACACAGACACTGCTGC